CACACACACACACACACACACACACACACACACACACACACACACACACACACACACACCACTACCAAGGTTCCGACCATTTTTTCAGTCTTCATGCATTCAGTACCTCAGCCTCTCTAAGCTAAACGTCCTGGTGCCCGGCAGTCCTATAACGGATTTGATGGGAAATGCCTACCATGCCCCTGCTGAATTTCAGCTATGTACCTCTGCAACTTAAAAACTACGTTGTCATCTATTTGTTGTGCGAAATGGCAGTCTTACCCCACAGGTTGCCTCCTTTTTGCTCTCTACTCCTCTGAGACTCAGATATGTGCACGGATAATCAGGTCAGTGCCCTCACAGCACAGACCCGCAGAACTTCAAGCCTCACCAAGAAGCACATGCCATCCACAAAATACATCAGAAACACAGGTCTCTCCGTCCATGGAATACAGGTCTCAGGAAATTCTAAGTCCATATCTCAGACTTTTAGAAGAATACTGAGACTTCTGGGTCATAACATATCTTTCTCCTTGACGAAGAGAGAGAGAGAGAGAGAGAGAGAGAGAGAGAGAGAGAGAGAGAGAGAGAGAGAGAGAGAGAGAGAGATGGAAATATAAAAAAACTTGAAAAAATCACATACTCTGCAAGTGCTCTTGCCAATTCTGATTCTCTTTGCTGCATGAGCTCATTCTCATAGAAAAGTGCATCCGACAGTGCCTCTGAAGCTCGCTTCCACCGAGTCTCTGCATCCTGTTTCGCTTGCTGGTCGGACAAAGAAAAGAGACGAACAGCTAAGTCAATATGGCCGTGCATCTTTCAATGTTATAGCGGAAGATTCACTCTCGTTTTGCACTTTTCTAGGGTAGTGGAGAGAGGCCAAATCACCTGCCTGGGAATCTGTTTCATATACTCTTCATTCCACATAGTACACAGCCAGCTGCATTAAAAAGCAGCTCTGATTAAAGTCAGACCCTAGCATCTGCATTGTGCATTTTGATGTTTTCAAAATGTTTTAATGAGAATTTTTAATCCCTCTTTCTTTAACAAAATTGTTAATTTTCCCTGTAGTCTTTTTTATCGTTGAGCAGCAGTGGAACGCTCCTGATCTATCACATTGACACGGAAGTCAGTACACACACAGTAGATGCACTGCATTGCACACAAACTGGGCGTGTGGCATTACCTGCAGCTTTACAAACGTTTTTCACAGTTAGTACATGCGCAGGCAAAAGGCTTGTTACTTTGAGAGATGAGCGTGACAAACGTGGACATGATTGTGATATAACAGCTTAAGATGACATGGTTACTGCGGAGCCAGACACACCCACGCCCATGCACACATGGCCTCCTGTGAAATGCACTGGGCATGGCTATTATGCCATCCACGTTTTGGTGGGCATGCCCACCAACAGTGGACGGAATCTAATGTCTATGTCCTCCTCGATTCCCCACCTTCCACCATCCCCCTGGCACTTTTCCCATTTCTTCAATATATTTCACACATCCACCTTCCATTCCCTTATCTCGCATGTGTCCCATCTGTCTCTCCTGGGTGTCTCCTACGTCTCTGTCATTTCTTCTGTGCTGACTCCGCGCCCCCCAAAAATCCCAATTCCACTCTTCCCGCTTCCATTCCTGACCACCCAATGTCTCCCCATCCTGGTGAAGTGCTTGATGTGCTGTCGTAATCTCTCTCTCTCTCTCTCTCTCTCTCTCTCTCTCTCTCTCTCTCTCTCTCTCTCTCTTCCCACTTCAATCCCCGACCTCCCAATGTCTCCCCGTCCTGCTAAAGTGCTTGAATTGTCATCCTCTCTCTCTCTCTCTCTCTCTCTCTC